ATAAAAAAAATAACTTTAAAAATATCGTCCACTTTATTTCGGAATAATTTTCGAAAAATTGAATAAAATCCTACAATTATCCGATTTTGTGATATTTGAAAAAATATTTTTTGTCTCCTAATTCATGATTGTATTGCTTAAAAATGGTAGGTGTTGTCCAGACTGCGTTGAAGATGAAAGTATTATTCGAATATATTATTTTATATTTCGTCTAATTCTTTATATATGTATGTGTGTGCTTGTGCACAAGTACATTTAGCTCACTAACGCATAGGTCGTCGTATACATGTCATAGGCACATGCAAACTTTGTTTGACAGACATAGAATCGTGTCTTTTTTAAGATATCTAATATCTTCTACTAGTTTTCCTGATAACTATGTCTAACCGATTGCATTTATATGCGTTATTACGCAAATTTCATTAAGAAAAAAAAAAGATTCCGGAACTGCCATGTCAAATCTGTCTTCCAGCATGACAGTGGGTGCTGAGTAATGTCCTTACAGATGAAGAAACTCGAAGAGACAAAGATGTCGTTTTACAGAGAGATGTTGAAAATCCCATCAACATAACACGTGAGTCACGGAAGGTTTCCAAATGAAATGGAGTTCAGAAGGAAATATTTGGGAATCATTATGAGGCAAGAGGACTTGGAAAATTTAACACCTACAAAGAAATAGTGAATAATGTAACAAGTGAATCTGGGTGAATGCATTGCAGAGAGAAGGTAAAGATAGTCTGTGAAGCTTCTATATTGCTTTGAGGAACAATGAAGAAGAAGCTATGAGGAGACATGTGCACTCACGTGCTGAATGGAAACGGCATATAAAAGAGAGGGTTTATTCTATCCCATCATAGGCGCGCATAAAAGAACTAATCAGACTCAAATTAAGCCACTATTTCATATTTCGTTACCAGGTCTGACAATGAAATATATCTAAGAATATCTTTCCCAATTTCATTTTTCTATTTTTAATTAGTTAGGATTTTGTGATGATGAAGACCATTTCCAATTTTGTTAGTTTTATCGATTCATGTTCTCCTCTACTATAGGCAGAGAATATCTATATCTATATATATATATATATATATATATATATATATATATATATATATATATATATATATATATATATATTCTTATTCTCTTATATACAGTGGGGTGAAATAAATATTCGTACACTTGAAAAATTGTATTTTTATAAATGTAAAAGCCTTAAATAAAACAAATCTCGGCACATTTTATGTATAAAAACACATACTATTAAAAAAGTAATAATAAACTTAATTAATTATTATTCTAACAGAAATTAATGCATTTTAAAAATTCTAACTGGTGAAAAAAGTATTCGTACAAATAAATTATTAGAATAAAATAATCAATTAATTATGAAAAACGTATATTCTAGAATGTTCCAGCAATGTTATCAGCAATTATAGTTAACGCTATTAGCCATTATCAGAGCATTCTGCAATTTCTAGTCATACGAGAAGGTTCTAATAATGTCTAAAGGTAAAGAATTGACTATTTCACAAAAACAACACATTTTGTCACTTTGGAAAGATGGGAACAGTTACAGAACGATTTCTAACAACCTGAATATTCCTTTTACTACAATTGCTTCGTTTATTGCAAGGTTTAAAACTCGTAACAGCGTCGAAAAACAAAGACGAACAGGTGCTCCTAGAAAGGTTTCTCTAAGATCTGCAAGGATATTAGGACACCAGATCCGACAAAATCCACAGGTTACCCGAGAAGAGTTGCAGGAACATCTGCGTGCATTAGAGATTAAAGTAACTAAGCGTACAATAAGTAAGGAACTACACAAAAACAGCCTGAAATCACGCATCCCAAGGAAGTCTCCACTCTTCTTGAATCGACACAGAGATGCTAGGCTAAAATTCGTTAGAGAGCATACGGATGAAGAATATTCGATTTGGGAAAAAGTACTATGGACAGATGAAACTAAAAAAGAGTTCTTTGGTCATAATTATCGAAATCATGTGTGGAGGAAGGACGGTGATGCCTACTTACCAAAGAACACGTTGCCAACTGGTGGTGGCAGTATCATGACCTGGGGCTGTTTTTCTGCAAAAGGTGTTGGCAGAATATCAATAATAGATGGCAAGATGAATGACGAAAGATACCAGAAAATCCTGCAAGATAATTCAATGCGTTCTGTTGAGAGACTTCGGCCACCTCCTGATTGGGTTTTCCAACTGGATAATGATCCTAAGCATACCGTTAGATCTACAAGGAAATGGTTAGCTGAAAGTAACGTTGATGTCTTGCAATGGCCAAGTCACTCCCCAGACTTGAACCCAACCGAGAATTTATGGCGATATTGAAAAGTCAAATTGGGAAAAGAGCACCAACAAATATCAAGAATTTGAAGACAATATGCCAAGAAGAATAGGACAAAATACCACTCAATGTGTGCAAATCATTAGTTGAGACGTACAGGAATAGACTGGTAGCTGTTGAACTCAATAAAGGATATTTCACAAAGTATTAAATTAAGGTAATATGCTTTTTTTTGTTTTGTACGAATACTTTTTTCATCAGTTAAAATGAAAAAAATGCATTAATTTCTGTTAATTAAGTAAATTTATTACTATTTTTTAATAAAATGTATCAAAATTTGTTTTAGTTAAGGCTTTTACATTTAGAAAAAAATACAATTTTCATGTGTACGAATATTTATTTCCCCCACTGTATATATATATATATATATATATATATATATATATATATATATATATATATATATATATTCTTTTATGTATATATAAGACATTTTTTTATGTTTGTACCATCTTTTTATAGATACAAATATTTAAGTAAATGCTCTGTTTATAATAAACAGTATTAACAACATTTACCAGCCTGAATGTCCGAGAAATTTTCATAGAAAATATGAGTCCTCCGACAGGAATCGAAACTGTATCCTATACGTTCCTTAACCGATTGGGCCACGGAGAAGCTTTCGGTTACCAAGGTCGATTTTACTCTTTTTAAACACAATTCTCTTTGACTTTCTCTCATTCATTCATATCTGCTCAATGCATTATCAAATGGACAAAGTCCGACAATTGTTTAAGACATTTTTATGTTTATACATTCTTAATACTGTTTATTATAAACAGAGCATTTTATTAAATATTTGTATCTATAAAAAGAACGTATAAACATAAAAAGTGTCTTAAATAATTGTGTGTGTATATATATACATTGTATATACATGTATATTGTATATATATATATATATATGTATATATATATATAAGTTAGTTTCAAAAAGTGTTTGGTTCTGCAGAAAGCCTTCACCACTAATATCAAATCATATGTGCTGGTGTCTTAATCGTAAATTGATGCTGGTGTTTGGTCTATATTATACCACGAGGATTCCGATCCGTCCACAAATGTTGCTTCTGTAAATTTCTTATTCCATATCTTCCAAATGTTGCCACATTTGTAAACATGACTAAAATGAAAAACAACAGATCAGCAGTTTGTACAATAAACCATCGGCAAATGTTCTCTCGAAGTGAAAGACTCTGCACACGTTGTAAATGATACGGCTACATGAGCTGCTTTGAGATACTATGAGAGGTACATCATTATAGAACCACTTGATATATGTTGATGCCTGGATCCTCTCCAACAGTTTGTAAAATGTGTTCTTCGTGTTCAAGCGTAAGAGCAGATATCGGTCTTCTTCGATACATAGTTTTTAATGTCGCACATCCTGTCTCAGCATCTTGATAAATAGCAAAAAAGTTTGGATGACTCGGTTGCCTTCGGTCTGGAAACACAAGCTGATACAACCATGCAGCCTCGCTTTCATTTACATTCACGCGGCAGTATGCAAAAATCATACCTGCCTGCTCACGATATAATATCCTGCCATTGTTAAATGGAACACTTCTCAGTTAACTTACTACTACACAAGTTAAACGTTGAGGACAGACTAGCCACATATGCACACGAATGATAAATGTAACGTAATCTACTTGGCATCACAGTGTCATCTACCGTAAACTTAATAACTAAAAAACGAAGGCTTTGCGGACTGTATATACAATCGCCCATGTTTTGTATGAGGATCCCGCCACCAATTTTTGTAAAAGCATTTTTGATACACCCTGTGCATATGGGTGTACACACAAACTTACTTACATTATATATATATATATATATATATATATATATATATATATATATATTATTCTGGCATTTGCCCGACTAAGCGTACATACATATAAGAGCGGAAAAGTTTTAATGTCTATTACTTTCATTCGATAACAAATTCTTTTATGAGTAATGTTTGACAGCATATATCATTTGAATCCCTTGCCTTACATTTTACTCAATATCAAGCGTGAAGTGTAGATATGACCCCCCATCTCTTCAAGCAGTTGAGCTTCTGTGTGTTTCTACAAGTAGAGGATTAGCTGACATTAACAGAAAAAAAACCTCCTGCTTCTAAAGTGCAGAGACAAGAACCTGATTAAGATGATTGCTGGTGGGAGTAGATCCACAAGAAATTCTGTTTGGGTCAAATAGAATTCAAAGTCCCTGATCTTGTCCTTGAATGCGACACATATTCAACACACATTGAATATTATATTTATGTCGCGACACTTATTTTCTCGGACAATGGAATCGGCAGGGCGCGTTCAAATTTCACTCGACGCTTTTTACGTTCGCTTAGGGTAATATATTTTATAAATGCATGCATCGATTTCTTCTCATTCTCAACTTGAATAAAATAACAGGAAAGATTGTACACGTTATTCTTCGAAGAGCAATCAATCTACAAGAAGGATAGTAACTACAAACCCAATTTCAATACATCATTGGCCAACATGGCAGGGTAAGTACTCTTACTTTTCGGGTCTGACAGATTTATATATGTATGATTTCTATTACTCAAGGTATGTTGTTTCATTAAAATTCCTTTTTTTTTATTTCTCTCGCCAACAATCTTTGTTTTTCAG